GCCAAGGCATAGTAGAAGAAAACAATATGGGAGAGAGACAGTAGAAAGTTAAAGCCTTGGAATAGAGCTGAGATGGAGAAGAAGGGTGGAGGAGAGCTGGGGTCTTGGAAAAGATGCATGTTCTGCCTAACTGCTGGGGGAACTCCAGAACGCTTTTAAGAGCTCTGTTTTCCTAGGATCCATAATTCTAAGACCTGAGGGTCCTAACACTTCAAGCTCAGTACTAGGCAACTGGAGCTTAAAGTTTAGAGGTGTCACTGAAAAAAGTAGGCAGTCCTAAACATTCAAGGCTCAGAGTTACTGTCACTAAACAAGTGGTACTTTGCTTGTCCATTCTTTTCATCTAAATAGAACAAAAGAATCCTCTCTTGACTATGAGTACAATCTCCCAGGTAGTACCTTCCCTTCTATCATGTTATTTGAAGCAAGGTACTTGATCCATTCCACACTCATGGGGAAGTAGAAATACTAGGAGTCAGGTGTCAGAGGAGGCCATCTTAGAAATCTACCTAACACATAACTTTCAGTAATTTTTAGGATCTGAAGAACCTCAAGCCCAAAAGTTGATTGTTTGCTGGCTGAAGAGTTGGCTAATTGGTTAAGAGAACTTGTTTGTCTTGTAGCCAACCTGTGTTCAATTCCCAGCACCCATGTGGTGGCTTACAAACATCTGTAACTCTCATTCCAGGGCATCCACTCTGACTTCGGAGGGTACCAAGCACACAATGAGTTGTACATATATTTGTAGGCAAAACATTAATACATACAAAAAAGTAGTGAAATAAATTTGTTATAATAAATAATAAATTCATACATACAAGAAGTAATGAAATAAATAAAATTCATTTATTTATTTAAAAGTAATGAAATAAATGTTTAAAGTCACTCTCTAGGGTTTAGTTTTGGGCTTTGAAAGACTGCATATGAGGATGACATGAGAAACTGTACTTTATGGACTTCATTTTCTAGAAGGAAAGATCTTAATATTACTTGTGTTTATTGTTTAACAACATCAAGGTAGTAGCACAACAGTAAAAGGAAGAGTAATGAGTATTGGAAAAGCAAACATCTGAAGGTTACTTCTAGGTGTTGTGATCTCATGATGGTTTTGTTACAGTCTTTGAAACTCCATATCATTCATGAGAAAAACAAGGTGTTGGCGTGATACTTGGTTGTCTGAGATATAGAGTACTATTCAGTGGTAAGTTGCATTACCTTTCCTGATTGCTCAGCTTTTCATGTACCTGATGAAATGACTCCAGGAGCCCTATAGATAATCATAGCAGGAAAAAAAAAAGATCTATTCTGTATTTTGTTATTGTCTCCTTCAGTGGTCTTAGTCTTTTATTGTATTTTTTTGATATGGGGGGGTCCATACTGTTCATAGATAGGCTTCAACTTGCCAAAATCCTCCTGCTTCCCAAGTGCTGGGATTACAGATGTTAGCCATCACTTCTGGCTCTGGATATGATTTGTTCAGGGTAAAACTTCTTCATCTGCAAACTGGAGTTTGGATTACATAATAAAGAAGACTCTGCATGGCTTCATGGGGCATTTTGATTTATTGCTTGTTTGTTTTAATAGCTTTGCTTCAAATAGAAAATGAATGACTAAACCTATGATAATGGTAACTTAAAACAAAAGTTAGAAATGATGTGTTGATTTGTCTAATCTTGACCACATAGCTAGGAAATAGAGCTGGGCATTAAACCTAGGTTGTCTGGTTTCAGAGTAGGAAGGACTTTTAATATGTAAGAAGCTAAATCCTGGCTTATGCTAAGTAGACAGAAAAACTCTACATTTTATTTGTATTACTAGAACTTGCAAAGTTTAAAGCCATTGAACCTGTCCAGAACTTTCTATACTTTCCATCATTGTCTCATCTCTACCCTTTAGTTGTCAGTGCTTTTAAACCTCTGCACCCTCAAACTTCTTCTTTGTGTTAATTCCAGATACCAGCTTTCTCCCGTCTTATGTCTAGATTTCTTTGAAATACTGTAAACTTTAAATTTTCTACTTCTGTAATTCTCTTCAAACCTATTGAAATCTAGGTTCCAAAGACACATTTTAAAAAAACTTAGGTGGTATATGACTATGCTTTCTATTTTTACTTTTCTAATGGTACTTAGGAAGCCAAGATGTAGAAGGAACAGTGAAGAAGGAAATGAAGAAGATAGCTTTCCAGGATCCAGGACTTTATTGGCACATACAGTTCGACAAGGTATAATTAAAAGGGAAGTGAAGACTGGTAAATTAATGGTCTCCTATGAGGATGGAAGAGCTGGAAGTTCGGATGAGTTTGAGAATGGTCTGTAAAGGGAGGAAGGGGATGAAAGATCTAGGAGGTTGGGGTTGCAGTTGGAGAGTTTAAAGTTTTAGAGGAGGACCAGTTAATTCTAGGTGATAACAAGATTTAAGATCTATCTGTTGATGTGGTAGATTAAAAACAAAGAGATATTTATAGAATTGAGGGTGATGACCCACATAAGGTAACAGTGGCCTTTCATGTACAGTGCAGTTCTTTATGATAAGCCTTAAAAGCATAATCTGGAAGGCACTTTTGTTATCCTTGCCCCTTTTTTAGTGTCAGATGAGGAGATAAGTCCCTTCTCCCTTTACTTTCTCCCTCCTCTACGCTCCCCTTCCTCCCTCTTCCTCCTCTTCCTCCTCTTCCTCCCCTTCTTCCCCTTCCTCTCTCCTTCCCTCCATTTTTTTCCCCTGTGTTTTGAGACAGTGTTTCACCATTTAGCTCTGGCTGACCTGGAACTCACTTTGTAAACCAGGTTGGCCTCAAACTCACAGAGATCTGTGCCTCTGCCTCCCAAATGCTGGGATTAAAGGTGTGCGCCATTACCGTCCAGCTACTCATTTTCTTTTAAGCAGGGGATATGTTAAGTTTGTAATTGACATTTGTATACTCTTGGCTGGAAAGTAGCATTGTGTGTATGATGAGATTCATCATACATATTGTTTTTTTGAGGATATTTCCTAGCACTGTACTTTATGTTAGGAGTGTTTTGAACTTAACTGTCATTCTGGGCATTTTGTTTCTGAACAATAAAGAACAGAAAGAGGTATGAGAGGAAGAACAAATGAATAAATATCTCAGAATGTTAGAGATATGCTGGTGGTTTGGAGGAGAAATGTCTGCTATGGCCCAGATAGAAACCTGTCTATCATGATGTGGGATATATTGTTTGTCTTCTTTGGTTTGTTTGATTTTGTTGTTGTGTTAATCATGTGTAATTAAGTTATAGGTACGTCTCAGAATTTAGATTGTGTTGTTTGAATTTTAGGTAAAAGTAGGAAGTAATACTTAATAGCCTTTTTATTTTTGATTCACTGCAATAACATGAAAGGGAAATGTGATCTTATTTTCAGAGAATTAGTTTATTGTTAACACACCCCTGGGAGGATGTGACTGAAGCTAACTGCTGATAGACACTAATAATAACCAAACTTGAGGTGACCCCTCGGGGATATACCCTTCAGAGATGCTTTAGTTAAGGTTTCTATTGCTGTGAAGAGACCCCATGACCATAACAACTCTTTAAAGGAAAACATTTAATTGGGGCTGGTTTACAGTTCAGAGGTTTGGTCCATTGTCTTCAGGGCCTGCAGATAGACTTGGTGCTGGAGAAGGAGTTGAAAGTTCTACATCTGGATTGGCAGGCAGCAGGAAGGGAGAGACACTGGGGACCAGCTTGAGCATTTGAAACATAAAAACCCACCCCCAGTGACACACTTCCTCAAACAAGGCCACACCTTCTAATAGTGCTACTCCCTGGTGACCAAACATTCAACTCTATGAGCCTGTGGTTGCCATTCTTACTGGAACCACCACAAGGGACTAGTGAAGAATTCCCAGTGTGCTTTCCAAAGTACTCTTCAAATTCTCATTCCTAAGCAGTTTTCCCTGTTGAAGATGTCTGCAAGAACCATTAAATAAGTGTTGTAGGAGAGTTTAAGACTTGAAATCTCTCTCTCTCTCTCTTAAGATTTATTTATTTATACAGTATTCTGCCTGCATATATACCTGCAGGCCAGAAGAGGGCTCAAAATCTCATTATAGATGGTTGTAATCCATCTTGTGGCTGCTGGGAATTGAACTCAGGACCTTTGGAAGAGCAGGTTGTGCTCTTAACCACTGAGCCATCTCTCCATCCCTCCAAATATGTCTTTGATGTTCATTTTTTTTCTCTGCTGTAAAGAAGAGCCAGCACTGTATTAAACTCTATTGTTGATCATTTGAGAATACAAAACTAATTAGTATGTTCTGATTAATTGTAGTTAAGCTATATCCTTTATTCTGTTCCATTTTCTGTTTGGTTATAAATTCTAAACTGAAGAATGTTCATAATTGAGCCACAAAAGGCAAGAAAAAATAGTTCTGATTATTAGAAAAGATTTTAAAACGTTCTTATAAATTGTAACTGGTTTTGATGTTTCTTATATCAAAGCAATTGATGTGGGTAACTAGTTCATGCCTTTTTCTTTGAGAGCATCTTGCTATGTAGCCCAAGCTGTTCTTGGATTCCTTATATAGCCCAGGTAGTCCTTGAACTCAAGATCTTCTTGTCTCAGCCTTTGAGTACTAGGATTATAGGAATGCACCAACATGCCTAGCTAGTGTGTGACTTGATTTGATAATGTGAAACTAGGAGAAAAACATACTTCTTTAGATGTTTCTGTATCTTTATTGCAGGTGATGTTTTTGTATCTTTATTGCAGAGGCTACAGTCACTGGCATTTTGCCAGGTTCTTTCCATTAACTGATTCGTGTATACATTTAATTCCAGTTTACACAATCAAATTGGGCCTGAGGATTTTTTTAATGCCTGATCTTTATTGCATGCAGTCATTGTTCGTTACAGTGTATATTTTAAAATAAGATCCAGTGAGAGCTTAATGATGAATTTGCTAATGAGATATTTCTGAAAGATGGAAGCGTGATTTTCAAGAACAAGAGAACAAGAGTTTATAAAACAAAACTTTCAGCCTTTAAATTTTGTAATGATTTATTAAATAGCTTCTGTAGAAAAAGACACTATTTTGTCCAGTCTTGTTTTAATCTTAATTTTTTTAGCTTACTTTTCTTGAGTATAAATTAAAACTAAGGTAAGTTTTTATTCATAGCTCATCAAAGGAGGAGTTCCTTGTGGGTGGTGGTCAGTTCCTTGTCCTTCCCCTGGTTGTCCTTGCCATCCTTTTTCTGAATCTGGTGTCAGGTGTGCCTGCCTCTATGGGCAAAGTAGTAGAAATGTTGGCTGGTGGAAAGTTTCAGTTTTTGCTGTGGTTCCTTTGGTTTTTGATCTTTTCCCTCACTTTTCTGAAGTAGCAAAGGAGAAGGGGAAAAAAAAGCTTTAGAAACATTCAGACTCTAGCTGCATCTAGGCAGTTTAAAACATTTTGGGGTTTTTGATTTTTTACTAGAATGCAGAATAGATTTTTTTTTTCTGGTATGGTAGGTAATATTCTAGATACCTGGATAATGTAATGTATATTAAATTACTTAAATAAAAGACTTTGCTTTTATAAGCCTGTCATATATTACTTGGTTTTTAAAGAAGAGTTTTATTGCTTTCTGAAATAGGAAGAATTCCTTAATATTCATACAGTTAGAGTATTAATCTGATTTAAAGATTATGATGGATGTTGGGGATATAGCTTAGTTGGTATTGCTCTTATGTCTAGTATGTACAAGGTGTGGGGGTTAATCCCCAGCAAAAAGGTGGCATACACCTATAATTCCAACTCTGGGGAGGTGGAAACAAGATGCCTCCTCATCCCAAATTTGTTTCTTAGTTTTAGTTACCCATTATCAACTTTGATTTAAAAATATTTCATGGAAAAATGTATAAATAACAACTTAAACATTTTGAATTACATGCTGCCTGAGTTACATGGTGAAATTTTGTACCATTTTGTTCTATCCTGCCCAGGTTGTGAGCCTATTTATATTATATATGCTGTCCTCACATTAAACTAACTGCTTTGGTTCCTAGATTGCTATCAGGGTTTTCTAGTGCTTGTATTTAAGTAATCTTTATTTTATTTAATAATGAACTCAGATAAAGCGTAGTAATATACCTGGGATATGCACAAGAGACTACATAGTATTTGCTTTAAATGAAAACATAGAAGTTATCCGTTTAAGGTCTGGCAGTGGTGGTGCATTCCTTTAATTCCAGCAGAAACAGGCAAATCTCTGTGAGCCTGGTCTACAAAGAAAGCTCCAGGACAGCCAAGTCTACATAAAGAAAAGAAACCCTGTCTCGTAAGGAAAAAAAGTAATTCATTTAAGAAAAGGAAAAAAAAATCTATTAACTGTAGTACAATAAAGGTCTTTGGACAGAACAAATTCACTTATCTTTTTACACTATATATTCTCATTTTCTATATCACTACATGCCTAATTTATAAGTTAAACCTTATAATAGGTATGTGTTTATAAGGAAAAAAGGTCAGATTATGCAGGGTATTATTGTCTTTTGCATCCAGTGTCTTTTGCTCTCCTCTGCCAGCAAGGGAGAACTACCACATAGATATTTAAAAAGGGCACACGGTCTTTCTAGATATCTCACAAGGGTTTCATAAAAGCACAAAGACTTTCTCTCTCAACCTTATTCTTCCAGGTGATTTAGAAGAGAGACCCCTTGCATCTAGAGATTTATCACAAGAAAATTTCTATCTAGGAATCACTATGAAGCAAATGATAGGTAGGAAACAACTTTCTGCATTTTAGAAATTGGAAGTAAAGCTACAGGGTAGGGGCGATAGCAAATAGAATGCCTTGTAACATGGAGAGGTAAATTAAATTTGAACTTCAGAAAGGCAAGAGAACAGAGCATACATTCTAGTGATAGGAAACTGGAGGCAAAAAGATTGCTGGAAGATCGTCAGAATAATCCATTTAAGAATGATGCAGAGAGTCATAGTAGAACACTTGCTCAGTGTGCTCAAGGTCTGAGTTTGAGTCCCACTGCTGGGGGTGGGATTGGGGTGGGATGATTTAGAGGTCCAGATTAAAAGAGTCCTAAGAGTCCTAGTTGGAGAGAGTGGGGAAAGTGGGAGAGGAGGTACAATCTTTGAGAATTGATGATTGATTAGATTTGGGAGGTAAGAGTAATTTTTTTTTTTCAATCACAGGAATAGCGACTGTGCCAGACATTAAGATGGTGGCACAGACCTTTAATCCCAGCACTTGGAAAGCAGAAGCAGGTGGATGGATCTCTGTGAGTTCGAGACCAGTCTAGTCTACAAAGTGAGTTCCAGGACAGTTAGGACTATTTCACAGAGAAACCCTGTCTCAAATAAAAACAAACAGGGAAGGATTAGTTTTTAGGAGGAAATATGTGAGACTAGAGAAAACAGCTGGGGGACAGGGTCCGAAATGCAGGGATTTGCCTTGGTTAGAGAGAGTATAGAGAGAAATCAGTGTTTTTGGTTCAGAGAACGTCTATCTCCATGTTTGCTCCATGCCCAGTGTGTGCTGCAGCTCTGATTGCAGGTTCAGGTTTGTCTGCACTCACTTGGTTGGTTCAGACTGAGTTTACTGCTCAGATGAAGACATCGCCATGCTTGGTAGAGGATGGAATGGTCTTTGTTTTCTTTAAACTGGCATGTTGCAGTTATCTGCTCACCATGTGAAACCTGAGGAGATGAGAACAAAGAAGCAAGAGAATGAATGTATATTATCAGGTCCTGGCAACTTTTCTTGAGTGTCTAAAAGTGTGTTATGCTTTACATAAGCCATGAGTTCCTAGTTCGCTTTTTTTGTTTTGTTTCTTTTCATTTGTGTTGTGTTTTTCTGTGCCTTGACATTGATTAGCACCACAACTGATAACAGAAACTAATAAAGTTGTTAAAACCAGAAATTAGATGGTTGAGATAGTTTTAGCTGAATAATTGGTGAAAATATGAAAGTACCCTTGAATTCCGGATTAAGAATAACTGAATCTGATTGACTTGCATGAACGTGGTTAGAAGCAACTGAAACTAGCATTCAGATCTTGCTCATAGCTCAGTGGTGTTTGTATGATCTCACTCATCTCAGCTGAAAATTTAAATGGTAGTCTTTGGATGAACTGTCTGGATAAAGGGGAAGTGTAAGTATGTGCGCGTGCACAGGAACATGAGCATATGTGTATATGGGTATATGGAAATCTTTTGATATAATCATGCTATGACTTTCTTCCTGTGAAGATCCTGAATGAATACCTATTGATATGTTAGGTCTGGTGCACTGGTCATAGGTACACGGATCTTTGAGACACTCATAATTTTAGTTGCCTTAGGGAGAGAGATACTTAAAAGGCAATAAAATACTGTCTGAATTTGGCAGTCCCTTTTCACTGTCTAGATGTACTAGTGAAAAATGTCTTCCCCGAACCTTTAATTTTGTTCCTAAACTTATAACAGAGCCATTTCTTTTTTCCTTTTTTTAAAAATTGATTTTTATTGAACTCTACATTTTTCTCTGCTCCCCTCCCTGCCTCTCCCCTCCTCTTCAACCCTCTCCCTAGGTTCCCATGCCCCCAATTTACTCAGGAGATCTTGTCTTTTTCTACTTCTCATATAGATTAGAGCTATGTATGTGTCTCTCTTAAGAGTCCTCATTGTTGTCTAGGTTCAACAGAGCCATCTCTTGATGCTGTCTATTGCTCAGAGTACTTTTGGCGATAAGATTGTTATTAAGTTGGATAGGTGAGTTGAAGACCATATTCTTCAGGGAATTATTTATTGTTTTGTACAAGAATAGGTAGTATTGAGGAATCATGTCTTATTTTGGGCATCAAATAGTCTCTTGCTTGAAAATCTGACATTGGTACTACTTTTCTTTGATTTAAACTGAAAAACCAGCCAGTGCTCATTTGAGAATAAGCAAGATAACTTAACAACTTTTTAATGCATTGGCTCTATTTTTGCTCTGTGAATAAGAAAAGCCAGAAGACAATAATAGCATATACCTGTATACAAATGATTAAGTGTTTGGACTAATGTCAGTTACTGTAATTCTTTCTTTCGATAAGTGTCTGTCTTTTGGGCACTAACATTGATTTTCAGTTGAAAATGTTAGAAATAGACAAGACTTAGGATATATGATAGCCTCAGATCTAAAGAAAGTTGCCAAGAGGCGAAATAAAAAGCTTTTGTTAAAACATACAAAAAGAACATTGGAGAAATGGGAAAAAGACTGATTGAATTCTTTGTAGGAAATAGTAAGGTATCTATTTAGACAAGACTACCTAACCTTTATTAATACTGGTGATATATTAGACTGTGTGCTTTACTGTGTTGCTTAACCAAGTATATCAAGATGTACCTTTTTAAAACCCTGCTTTAAAGAATAATCTTGAGATTTAGGTGGAAAAACTTGTCCAAGGTTCTGAAGTTAAGCTGTAGGTATGATAGTTGAGATTTGAACATAGGAAAGCTTATTTTCACGTTCCCTACTTTTAACTTTTATAATGCAGTTACCTGAATGAACTGTGTGATCTTACCTTCAGTTGTGGTTCTAAAAGGCTCCATTTTCTGGTTTTGGTATTTTTGAGACAGTGTTTCACTGTGTAGCTTTTGCTGTCCTAGAACTCACTGGCCTCCAGTTCACAGAGATCTCAGAGAACCTCTTGCCTCTCTAGTGCTGGAATTAAAGTTGTGCACCAATATGCCTGGCTGTCTGTTATATCTTTAGTTTAGGAACATTTCCATCATTTGGGAGAAGTGATTTAAAGATTTAAAAAAAAATCAACGAATTTCTTCTCATAGTTCTTTTGAATGTGCTACACTGATTTGAGGGAGACCTTTTGATGACTGGTCATTAAGAAATTCCATTCTCTTTTCCTCATACCCAGTGTTTATTGTAAATTGCAAAAAATAATTTATTTTAATTGTAATTTGATTTTTTTAACCTTCCTCCTTGCAAATAATATCCAGTACATGTCTAGACATGCTTAAAGGCCAGGTTGTGTCATTGATATATACACAGAAGAGCATCCATAAAGTGTTACCAGGCACTAGTGTCATCTTTTCTCTAAATGGATACATAGTAAATATTTGGATCTTTTTAAGCTTAGAAGGAAAATGGAAGATATTATGTAGATGTTTATATAGCAAGAGAGAAAAATGTCATTACATTTTTAATTGACAAAATGTAAAATATGGTAGTAATGTAAAAATTTTGTGATACCTGCCTAGAGTAATGTTTTCTTAGTTAGGGACTCATGTTAGTGTCTTTATGATCAGATGTTTTGCAGATATTCTGTGAAAACTATTCTTAGCGTCTGGGCAGATGGTTCCATGGATAAAGAACTTGCCATGCAAATGTGAAGACCAGAGTTTAGATCCATAGAGTCCACATAGGACTGGATAGACATGGTTGCTCACAAATCAGTCCTCCAGTGAAATGAGAGTAGAGACAGGAGAATCCCAGGTAGCTCAAGGACTGTCTCAAAAAAGATGGAAGGCAAAGACCAGCACTCAGGTTTGTTTTCTGACTTCCATAATACCTATTTGTATTCATACAAGAACATGCACACGTGTACATCATACATAAACATTTTAAAAAACCAAACAAACTAGGACTGGGGAGATGGCTCAGCAGTTAAGAATACTTGATGCTCTTGCAGAGGACTTGGATTTAGATCCCAGGATTCACATGGTGCCTCACAATCATTTCTACCTTCAGTTCCATGGGATCCTACAGCCTTTTCTGAACTCCATGGGCACCAGGCACATGTGTGCTGCATATACATACGTTTCAGACAAAAAAAATTGTGCATAAACAAAAGAAACAAATCTGTACAACAAAACCGAAACTGTTCTTAGCTTGTGTGCCATATAAAACAGGTATTGTGTCAGGGTGTCATCACAGATGGCAGTTTACCAGTTCTGTCTTCATGGCTGCTCTACTGCTTGTTTCATGGGAGTAGTGATTCCCAGCCAGGTTAAGCAGCCTGAGGTGTTCTGAGTTATAGTGATTGCCAGTCTTTGTTCTGGATGCTAAGAGAACAGTGAAACAAAACAGAAACCCCTGCTTCCGTTAGCTAGTATTAAGTACCAAGGAAAAGTAAAATATGGGAAGAAATAAATATTTCTGTGTTACCTAGCAGTCTTAACTAAATTAGTGACCTTAATAATAGCAGTAAGTGGTTTATTTTGGTTGTTTACTTTGTGATTAATTAATATACTTAAGTTTTAATGTATTCATTTGACTTTTTAGAATAGTACATGGTAAACTATGTTCTTGTCCTTTTAGATTTGTATTAGGTGACACCCGGGGGACATTCCTTTAGCTAGGCGTGTGGACCCGGGTTCCTGGTCTCTACAGTGTTGACTATAAAGTCTTGATGCTCTATTGCCTCTTATTTTTTAAATTAAATTTTATGTTTGGAGAGAGAGAGAGAGAATGAGAATGAGAATTTAGTGATACTGGGGATCAAACCCAGGGCCTTTTGGTATGCTAGATAAATGCTACACCACTGAGTTATTTATAATTTTTGTACGTAGTTTTAATAATCTCTGATTTCTTTTATTATAGTAGCTACAGTGTAGATACTTAATAGACCCTTTCTTCTTATAATGTGGCCAATGAGGAAGACCAAAGATAAATTAAATTTTTATGTAAAATTTTTTTTTACTGTTTGAGTCAACAGTTATTCAGTATATACTTTGTTTTGAAGAATGGTGAGAAACAAAAGACAAATCAGAAACAATATTGCCTTCAAAGGAAATAGTTTCCAAGGCAATTTATAAATTATAAATACAGTTGTTTGCTTTTGTGTGCATGGGTATTATCTTTGTTTTGCAGAGGGAGTTGTTTGCTTTAGTTTTGCTTTCCCATGCTATAGGAGTGATCATTTGCACTTAAATGAGCTGGGGTAGTACACCAAGAGCGGTCCATTCAGAATTGAGAGGTGGAGCAAGAATACAGAAGATAGTATTTTAACAGGTGGATTATGAATCTGAAGGGTGAGGTTGCACTTCAAAAAGAAAGAAAAGGGGCTGGAGAGTTGGCTCAGAAGTTGAAAGCACTGCCTGCTCTTCCAGAGGTCCTAAATTCAATTCCCAGCAACCACATAGTGCCTCACAAACATCTCTCAATATAGATAGATATAATATGTCTGTTTATGTGTTATAATGCTATGATGCCCCCTTTTGGCATGCAGGCATACGTGCAGGCAGAACATTCATATCTTAAAATTAATTAATTAAAATTTAAAAAGAACAAAAAACTGGGGGAAGCGAGGTCTGATAGAGGCCAGAAAACATCAGCTATGTTTGGAGCAATAAATTAGTCTTCTTGGCTGGAATATGGTAAAGAAAAAGTAAATAAGTTGAGACCTATTTGTGTAGGACCTTAAATATCAGATGAAGGTGTTTGGACTTATTTCAGTAGACAGTGTGGAGCCACTACAGTTTTTTTGAGTAACATAATCTTAACTATAATTTGTGTAAAATAATCCAGTAGCATTGTTAGTAATGAACAATTGAGGAAATGATTTTTCTTTGTTGTATCTTTTTTCTCCCTGTAAAACTAAAATAAATGTAAACTTAATTTAGCTATCAAAAAATAGTAAGAATTTTACCAATGAATATGGCAAAAAGAAATACATGTTTATATCTGCATACTGTACCAATTTTTTTCTTTTTTCTGGTTTTTGGTTTTTCAAGACAGGGTTTCTCTGTGTACCCATGACTGTCCTGGAACTTGGTTTATAGATCAGGTTGGCCTCAAATTTAGATATCTTTCTGCCTCTGCCTCCCGAATACTGGGACTAAAGGTGTGGGCCACCACTGCCCAGCTAATGCTGCACTGATTTTTAAAGCTGATTAAATTCATCCATTGTCAACTTGTGGTTTGAATTTTTGTATTCAGACTCTTTGACAGTGAGTTAGTTATATACCACAGATAAATTAATCTTTCAGGGCTGAAGA